ATGTTTTATCGTTGGCATTTACCACCAAGAAGATTGGCTAAAATGTACCCAAACATGAATCCGACCTCTGCTGGAATTGTAAAAAAGTACAAGGGACTTTTTATCACATATGGTGGACCTGCCCAGAAACACAAAAATATTAGACAAAAATTTGGAAATGGGTGCATGAAATTACAGGAGAACAGATAAAATACAAACCAGAAAACTTTCTGCTGGGAATAATCAAAGAATACAAAGAAAATTAAGTACATATTAAGTACATGCTAACCACAGCTAGAATAGCATTTGCCCAATGCTGGAAACAAAATAATACTCCCTTGGATGAATTAGTGATACAAAAAACTTTGGATTGTGTAGAGATAAGGCAAATTAACACTGAAATTAAAAGATAAAGAAGAGTTGGAATATTATGAAATTTGGAACAATTGGTACAAATGGCTGCAAAACAAGAATAAAATTAATTAAGCTGAAAAATAATATATATATAAATATATAGAACTGTGTGCAAAGGTTGTAAATATAGAAGCGAAATATTATATACATATACAGTATGATGACATAATAATGTTGATGTAATGATTGTAAGGTGTTGTAGAAGGGAAAAAAAAATCTAAACAAAAGAATGTGCAGAAATGAACAGATTGACACTGGTATCAGAGACAAACCGATTATTATACAATTTGGGAATCTTTTAACCGATGGTTAGAGAATAGATATAAGAATTAATACTAAAATAAGTTATCTAAAGTATAGAAAATGTATTAATAGTAAATATAACTAATAGATTTAAATAAATTACAATGGGATTTTTATATTATTAGATACTTAAGGTATTGGAAGTTAAGCTAAAATGAGATTAAATTATGAATAAGATTGTATATTTGAATGTTGGCACAAAATATGTATACCCAAATGACACACTGGTTAATGGAAAATTGATTGTTTATATAAAAATAAAGTAAAATAAATATTCCATTGTTTTTCTCAGGAAAGCCTTGAGGAAGTGGTGAGGAAAAGCGGCTTCTTTCAAGAGCCAGCTGCTCTGAGGGTGCTTTAGAAATAAGAAACCTACATAAAGAAATAAAGGACAGAGAAACACATAACCTGGCCTTAGACTGAGGCCAGGGACAAGACAAGACCTAATCAGAATTTCTACATTTCTGTCCCCCCACAGCCAAAACACCAAAACACCCCAAATACGGAGTCATGGACCATGCAAATAAGCAGCTGTTCAGTGCATGGAGCTATTTGTAGACTGGATGCTCTGCATCTTTTGCTGGACCCCCCTGGAAAGCGTTCAGGGCTCATGCGCTGCCCTGCCTCTGGCCGCATCACAGCAGAGCAAGCCAACTGTGGCGTAGAGGAAAGGGAAGGGCCGATCTGAAGTGCAGCAGAGCCACTCCAAGGGCTGGCAGGACCAGGCACGGCTCTTCCCTCCTTCATTGGTCTCCCGGCAGCCGCCACAGAGTAACTCTCACACTGGCTCTCCCACAGAGGCCAGCCAGGCACTTACCTGTTTTTGGGCAGAAGCGCCAATGTGCACTTGGCAAAATTTGACGGCCTGTTCTAGAGCTGCCGCTTCATCAACCTGCGGACAGAAATCACATTAGGGAGCCAAAGTAGTCAGAAGATGCTTCCTAAAAGACATTCAGCCAGCCCAGTCTGGGAAGGCCCTGCTCGAGATTACCCCAGAACAAGTCTCAACCCCCCCCCCCCCAAAGGCTCCGTAAAAAACTTTGCCCCCCCCCCCCCCCCAATGAAGCTCTGTCCTAAGAGGGGCTCGACAGGTTACATGGAGGACAGGGGGCTTCTATTGACAGAAAGAATGGGCTTGCCTCTGAGACAATCCCTCTGGGAACAGACAGTCCTTTTCATTGCTGGCTATGTTGCTTCCTTTTTGAAATTATTTTTGTTTCAGTTTGGACAGTGCTTGCTCATTTTATTTAAGGATGATTTGGGTCATTTATTTTTAAATATAAGTTTTTGCGAAGCACCCTGGGGTGAAATTAGTAAGAATTTGCAGGGTGGGCCTCTGCTGCTTCTCTTGGTCAATGGGCGAGGTTTCCCTTTTCTCACCCATCCCTGAATGCCAAGAGGGAAACAAGCCCAGCTATGGGTGCCATTGCAAACCAGCACCATATCAGCCTTTTACTCACTTGCTTAATGAGCATGTAAGTCTCAGACATGATCTTCTCAATTTTGCCTAAATCATAGGTCATGACCTTCTGCCCTTGCTGCCACACGCGGTAGGCATCCAGAAGGAGGGTCTTCCCAGACTCCGTGTCCCCGGCCAGCTTCCTCTTCCGGCTGGGCTTCTGGTTCTGGCTGGTCTCCTCTGTGGGGCCGGCCTGGCCTTGGGCCTTTCCTGCCTCCAGCTGCTGGTGCTTGGAGCTGATGCTTAAGTCCTCCAGAGACAGTTCTGCCGTGGTCCGGCTCTCGGGGGCTTTGTCCTTGCAGACCTTGCCAGAGGGCACTTGGGCTGGCTCAGGATAAAGAAAGGAGGCCTCCATTTTTTCAGGGTCAGCAGCAAAGTGGTCGCACTCCATGGGCTCGGCAGGGCCTGACGGAGACACCTCTTTTGGGATTTTTTCTGGCTTGCCCTCGTCTGGCTCCATGGCAGTGAGAGGCTGGTCCTGGCCCTCTTCTTGGGAGACATCCTCAGTGCCATAAGATGCTCCCTCCCCACCAGACAAGGCTGCCTTTGGGGGCAGGGTTTCCTGACCATCATCCACACTTGCCTTCTGAAAGACATCAGTAGTCATTCTTCTCTCCAAAATGTCACAGCCCTGGTTGCTTTGATCTTCGGATACCTTCAAGGCAAACAGAGTTAGCTGGTAGAATTTCCATGAGAGTCTGCAATGCGGGTGGCGTGGGAAGACTTACCTCAGTGAGCTCATGCAACATGTCCTCTAGCACCATCACGGTGAGAACAAAGGCCCGCTGGGCAAGAACCTGGCGATCTGCATCCCGCAAGTATTTCCTGTAGTAGGGAAAGGAGGAGCCGTACAGGTTAGATGCAAAAACTGCTCATTTCAAGGAGATCCAAGCCTCCCGCCACACACCACACTGCACCATCATGTTCTCCCAGGCCCACCTTACAGTGGCTACTCAGATTCAGTCGTGGGTGGAGTAAAACATCCCATAATTGTATCTCCAGTGAGACCTTCTATCCTTACCCACAGACCCACTTATGGGGTTGCCTGGCTGAAGTTAAAACCACACGATCTAAATGGCAACCGAGCCTGGAAGTCTAAAAGCTTCCAGGAACAATTTCTGGCCTCCTATCATCCGAAGAAGAAGGACGACCAATGGAGGATCGTTTGTGTTCCTCTTTCTGGAACTGGCAATGTCAGAATTTCATGATGAAACTTTGCCCTGACTACACGACATGATCCCTTGACAGGGTTCCATTTCTATATATATAAAAAAATCTTTATGCTATCAACTTGCAAAGGCGGCTAACACACACTTTCCTCTGCTTGATCCAACTGCCCACTTTTTCCCCAAAGAAAGTTTCAGTCCAGCCAGTGTCATTTATTCAAAATTCTTTTGACAACTTGGAGAAAGTGCCAGTAGTGTCAATGAGCAACTCCGGAAGTTCTCCAGCTGGACAGACGTGGGGATGTGTGGGCGTTCAAGAGCCTCACATGAACCCTGTCTGACAAACCACCTCCGAGATTCTTTTTGGATCAGAACCCCATTCGGAGGGGGGGGGGGGAAGAAGGGGCAGCGTCTCATCAGACCCTGGGGGAGGCAACAGGTCCCTCGCAGGTCGGAGATTTGCCCTCTGAATTGGAGTAAGGGCGGCAGCATGGAAACATGGCTGCACAAGAAGCTGACTTCCAGCCAAAGCAACTGAGGGTGAGGAAGAGATGAAAGACCGGTAAGAAAATTCATCTAACCCTCAGCCATAAATCAAAACTTGGAAATGCAAATAATCTTGAGAGCATAAATAATATTGGATTTTTGTAAAAAAAAAAAAAAAAGGAAAGAAAGAAAGAAAGAAAGAAAAGGAAAATGGAGAGTTGAAACACTACCCCCCCCCAAAAGCCATTTGTTTGAAACAATTCAGACAGAAAGGAAGAAAAGAGAGAAGTGACAAACCCACTCAAATACTAACTCTAAATTTGGTTTTCGACTTGAAAAGATTGTGTTTTTAAAGGAGTCTAGGAGCGTCAAGTTTTGCTTCGTCCGAATGTCTTTTAACTAACATGATCTTAAGCAACCCCAATTAATGAGGGATGGAATGCAACAAGGGAGAAAGATCAAGAAAAAAGCACTATCTCCTCACTGACAACTGATAACCTAATCTTGCTTGTGTGGGAAATTCTAACCAACCACCATAAATCAGAACTTGGAAAAGCAGGAGGCGAAGAAGCATACCCGAGTTTTGGCTGTATGCAAGAATATTCCAATTAATATATTTTGAGCAGCTATAACCAATGAGAGGTGAAAAGTAGCAGGGGAAAAAAATAACAAAATCAAGAACTGGGAAATACATAATGGAAAGCTGGGAATTTGAAGAACTATGTGAAATTATAAAAAATATGCATAAATCATCAAAATCAAACGTAAATAGAATTCTGAACCCTGAGAAGCAGGCATTTAAACAAGAAGGCAAAGAAAAAGGGGGGAAAGATAATGAAGGGGTAGAAACGGTGGGAAATAAAAAGCAGACAAACAACTCCATTGGGCTTGGCAGTGGTATAGGGAAAATTGTAAAAAGGGGATGTGTCCCAACAAAAGGGAATAAAAAGCAGACAAAAGATGTTTAGGAGATTGACAGTGGCATAAGGAAAATTGAAGTAGGATGTTATGCCCCAACAAAGAGAAATATAAAAGATGGCTTGGGGAAAATTGAAGAGTATGGATGTGTCAAAACAAAGAAAAGGGAGAAGGCAAGAACAGAGAAGTGGGACAAAAGACTTACTAGGAAAAAATCAGACAATTAGAAATTCCTATATGGAGAATTATAAAGCTGAGATATGTGGTTTACTCCTAAACTGTTTGAATATGATAATGGAAAGATAATTAAATAAAGGTTAAAATATATGGAATATGGACAAATATGAAACTGTAATGCGGAGATTGTAAAGCAGAGGTCTGTGACTCACTTTTATACATAATTAAACTGAGTTGCTAATTGATGGAATATGACAATAGGAGGACAATTAAGCATGGGTTAAAATATAAGAAACAGGGTCATATATAGAACTTTTAAGATGATGAACAAAGTGAGATGTGTACCGCTTGTTATTCTATATAGTAGATTAAGGGAATTATAATGAACATTGAACAGTTAGGATTGCCATTTATAGACAATTAAGGGTAACCTAATCCAAGATATGGAATAATTGGAAAGGGAACATGAAATATACTTACAATGGGAAACTATTGAGATTTAAAGACAGAATCACAAATTGGGGGCGTGTAAGGATGTATAATGATGAGAATAGCTGGGAATTGTAATTCCCTTAATCTACTAT